AATTCTTTCACAGTAGGATTACTGCACAGTAGAATAAAGTGCCATAGGATGTGGTAGGGAGCACATCTACATGTGTGCTCTATGAGGTGCAGGTTTCCACCCAACAGGAGCAGCCCAGTCCAGGGCTGCTCCTGTCCTGCTTTGCTCCCCTGCACAAGTCAGTGACAGCTCCTGGCTCCTCTAAGTGCCAGTCTCAGGGCTGGCAGAGGGCATGGAGGCCAGTCCTAAAGTACATGGGGCCAGATGACATCTGCCCCTGCAGCCAGCACAGGGCCAGGAGAGAGCTTCACCTGCAGCCAGGACATCTCTCTCAGCCCTGTACAAATTGGGAGCCTCCCAGTGTGAATAGGCTGGGAGACAGCTGCACCTGCAACTGGCACAACTCCCCCCGCCCCTTCCCCCCCACACACACAGCTGGCACAGCTCCCCCTGCATCAGGGCTTAGCCAGAGAGCAGTAGCCCCTGATGCCTGGGCTGACTAGAAGCCAAATTGCTCCTGATCAGCATCTACATATGCGCTACTGTGCATTACCTAATGCACTGTCTATCTAGTACCTGTATGTGTTGTTATTAGCAAACAGTGCATTGGATTAATCTAATGTGCAGTAAATCTAGCACACAATTAAATAGTTAAACTTTACTCTGCCTTGGATCAGTCTAATGCATAGTAAAGCATCTTGTGTGGATGTGCCCAGCAATACCAGCATTTTGCAGTACTGTGAAGCCAGGTTAAGGGAGGAAAACCTAATTATTAGATAGGCAAAGAGTCACAGTTAGCTTGACAAGCGACCAGGAAAAAGACTTTGAAGAGGGCAGTTCACTACTTCACAAGGCTGTTGCCAGTTGTTTTATGGCATCAAAGATTCAAAGCAAATTCCTACTGGTCAGCATCTACACGAGCTACTGTGCAGTAAATAATGTGCCATTAATCTAGTACCTGTATTTGTTGGTACTAGCAAATGGCACATTAGCCTAATTTACTGTGTAGTAAGTCCCAATGCACATGTAGATGCTGACACTTTACTGTGCATTAAATTAGTCTAATGCACAACAAAGCATCTCATGTAGATTCACCCCCTGAAGGTGATACAGCCTAATGCCTGTTAGTAGGACAAAGCTAGGACTGATGACTAAAAATGAGGCCTGTTTGAAAAGATTAGTATATGTGCAGTTGACACATCTGCACTCGGTGGTGAGGAATAGATTTGTAGGCACAGAAAATACGAGAGAAATGGAGAATTAAGGGTTATCACTGACTGTAATAGCAAATGCTGTATATTTCATATTGAAACTAAAATCAGTCAATTATGTAAAACAAGATACAATTATTACTAAAATGTTAAAGATTTTAAACAAAATTCTTTAGCCAGTATTACTTTGTTCTACATAACAACAGTCAGATAGACACTTCTTCACAATTAATCTGATTAGTACTAATGCACAGGTAAAGGCTCTTTACTGGTAAAAACACTTTCCTTTGCCACCCCTAGAAAAATTCCCAGCATGCAGACTTCCAAGCTGTTTGATACCTCCTCTCTAAAGAGCCCAGCTAGGGAGCCCACATAATCCAATTATGCCTGGAAGTAAATTTTAACAACTCTTTAATTTCTATATGCTAAATCCATGTAAAAAAGGCAATGAATAAATACAAAATCATTTAAAGTTAAGTACTCCCTGGAAGGAAGCTTGTAACCTCTTTCCTCTTGCCACCCTGCCTTCATGTAGTTGGATTCCTTCCAACTACTGATATCTGTGCTTTGATTGCATGGACTCCGATTGATTAGCAAGCTTCTGTAATGTTAGGGAGCTCTATCTATGAGACAGAACCAAGAGGTCTTGGTTTTATGCCAAAATTTCTTTCTGACTCACTTTTAAGCGTTGGGAAGGATCTGCCTTTTTCTCTCTCTAAGTGGGGGTATGGTACTCTTGACCGCAGGAAACTTATTGTTACTACCCAAGATCAAATTTCCAGAAATGGTGGATTTCAGCTGGGATTAATTTTATATATTTAGGTGCACTTATTTCTTTTTTAAAACTCTGCTAACATTATGCCTTCCATGAGAGAGAAGCAGGAAACTGTTTGCTGTGTTCACCTGCAGTTGATTAATTTTGGGCTCACTCTGCAGTTTGGTTATTATTCCTTATTTTTTAAGCACTGACTGTTACACAGAAAAAAACTGAGGCAGTGTACAGTATTTTGTGTCTCTGTGGCCAGTATTTGGCCCCCGCCCCACTGCATCATGAAATAGAAACTTGACCCACAAAGCTTTGTTTATCAAACCCCATGGAAAATCATTAATCTTGAAAAATTACATCCTTCAGCCTCTGCCAAAATGAACTTGCATGATGCTCTGCTGACATTCAGAAACGTGTCTGAGCCAAGAAAAAGACACAAATCTTCTCAAAATGAAATGGATGATGAATATTCTCTGCAAAGCCCCACCCAATCAAACACCTTCCCATCATCACTCAAAACCACCATTGCATTTTACAGCCTACAAAAGACATTGCATTTGGCTTAGCCCCAAATACCAAGATTCACTAATAAACCTGGAAGGGAAGTTTCTGACTTTTTTTTTTTTTTTTTTTTTTTTAAG